TACATTGTCTTGGTCAGCCCACATCTAAAGAACAGTGTTTAATTCTGAGTGCCAGTTGGCCTTCAGAGATAGAAATGTTTCAGATTCTGTGGTCCATATGGTCTGTCTCACTACTCAATTCTGCCATTGCAGTGCAAAAGAGCCATAGATTATATGTTAACAAATGGGCATGACTACGTTCCAGTAAAGCTTTATCTATAAAAACAAAAGTGCCAGGTTTGTATTTCATCCTGTTTGGAAGAGAAGCTTTGATAAAGATGATCAGGGTGTTTAGGTTTCTGGAAACTCCATCATGTAAGAAATGATTTAAGAGGTCACCAATATTTAGCCTAGAAAAAAGATATAAATCCCAGAACTAATAAAATTTACTTTAGGACACTCAAGTACAAGACATCACTCATGTCTTCATTTAATAAAAATAATTGTGTCTTTCTCTTTAACCACCATGGCTAGAAAAAATGTATATTCTCAGGTTTATGTGATACGCATCTTGGAGATCAGTGAGAACTACAGAGTTCCTAGAGTTCAGGAAGTTGTGGAAAGGCTTCTGGTCTTCAGCTCATCATGGTTCTCACTAGAATACTTTTTGCCTAAGGCTACATGGTCAAGTCAAATGCAGGTGGCTTTGCTACTCCTGTGGTCATTTTTCATTCATTGCCATGCTTGGTCACTTGGTCCTTCACCTTGGTTCCCAAAGTTTTGGTGTTCATTGTTTGTTGGATGACAATGTGGTCTAGAAACAAAGCTTGAGAGAATCTGCCACTCCTCAGTATTCCCAGGCTCAGAAGAAAATCTAATTCTCTCTTCATGGAGCACAGCCACTACTGCCCCTTCCCCTAGAAGCACCTATTCAGTGGTATAGGTTTGGCAAGAGGTGAGTCAGATGTTCTTACAGTGCTGGCCGATGTTTCACAACCATCTTTGGACTGCTAGTGGTCCCACACAGACCCTTCTGGACATCTTGAAACATAAAAGAGACATATATTTATATGAAAAAACTAAAAATTCAAGAAAGTTAGTGACCAATGCCAAATAAATCATGGAAAAGAAAGTAGATAGTATGTGAGCTTAAAAGGAGAGATAACTTTGTGGTGGAGTAGACAAGAAACATCACTTATTTATTTTTCAAATATTTATTTCTAGTCAAGACCTTTTACCTTAGCTCCAGTCTTACACAGGCGCACATGTGCACGTGTGTGAGTATGCGTGCACACACACACACATTTTCTCCTAACATAGGGCTCACACATTCACCTCAAATTCTCTATAGTATTTTTTAAAGTATTCACTACATCCAGCTCTCTCCACCTTAAATTTATTCCTTTGCAACATTCCCACAGTGCTACTCAATCCAGAAACTAGCTTCAATTCCTTCCTTTTCTTTACCTTCCACATCCAACCAACTATCATCATTACCAAGTATGTCTTCACCAATGCATCCCTCATAGTTCCCACCATATCATCCATACTGCCATTGTCTTATTTCTGGCCACAATTATATCCCACATAGATTTCAGGACAGTCTTTTATTTGACCTTTTTGCTAGCACATCTTCTCATTTCCCACACCACTCCAAGCTGCCAAAGTGATCTTTCTAAAATAAAAATTTGATATATCTTCCCTATCTAAATCTTAAAGCTTCCATTGCCTTCAAGCTAAAACTCAAACTTCTTTGTTTAACATGGATGATCTCATGATCTGGCCCTTGTCTACATATTATTTCATATTTCTTACTATGTTTCTTATTTCTTATTTACCATTCTTACTAACCTGCTGTTCCTTAAATGGTCTTTGATCTCTTTCAATGCCCCCCTTTGATGTCTCTTCCAAAAAACATCCATCTCTTCTGATTCTGTAGCCTGATCAACTGCTACAAAGTGAAGTGTCAGTAGAGTCTCCTATTTTTTTTTATTTTTTTTATTTATTTTTTTAATTAATTAATTTTTTTTTTGCGGTACGCGGGCCTCTCACTGCTGTGGCCTCTCCCATTGCGGAGCACAGCCTCTGGACGCGCAGGCTCAGCGACCATGGCACGGGCCCAGCCGTTCCGCGGCATGGGGGATCTTCCCGGACCGGGGCACGAACCTGCGTCCCCTGCATCGGCAGGCGGACTCCCAACCACTGCGCCACCAGGGAAGCCCAAGTCTCCTATTTTTTACCCCCACTCCCCAACGCTGAAAAAGTACTTCTTTACAATCCTACACATATATTTTCTATGGCATTTAGTCTATTGGCCCATTGTCAACCATTTTCTTTCAAGATTATGAGCTACCTGATAATAGGAAAAACACCTTTCATCTTGATAACCTTAAAAGTTGAGAGATAGTAGGAAATCAATATGTTTATGTTATTGAATACAGAGTATTGAAGATGTATGGATAAAGGCATATTGACCTGGAGAAAAAGAGCATTAGCAAAAGCTTAAAACAGAAAACTGATCTTCTCAAAGTCATCACTAATCTACATGTTGTTCAATCAAGTGGTCATTTCTCAGGTATATCATTAATTTTTCTTACAATCTGTTGTTTCTTCCAACTTAAAACGCCGTCTTTCCTTGGCCTCCAGTTCTTCACACTCTTCTGGCTTTTCTCTTGTGATCCCAGTAGCTTCTCTGTCTTCTTTCTTGGCTCATCCTCATGTCTTAGACCTATTATCTTCTCATCTACACTCATTCCTTTGGTGATCTCACATGCTCAAGGCTTGATACCATCTGTATGCTGACCATGCTCTAATGATCTATTTTGCCTGGACTTCTTCCCTGAACTCCAGATTTGTGTATATAACTTCCTGCTTGACATCTCTAGTTGGCTTTACAATAGAAATTTCAAATTTAGCATTTCTTTTTTTTTCAACCTTATGAGGTGAGGTATAACTGATAAATAAAATTGTAGGATATTTAAAGTACATTGTGATGATTTAATAGAAATATACATCATGAAAGGATTCTTCTCATCTAATTAATTAACACATCCATCACTTCACATATTTTTCTTTTGGGGAGGAAATTTGAGGGGGGATGGACAGGGGTGAGAACATTTAAAACCAAGCTTTTGATGAACCCAAACCCTGCTCACCCTGTCTTCTCCATCAGTCAATTACACTTCATCCTTCTAGTTGTTCAGACCAAAACACACTTTTAATCACATTTGACTCTACTTTCTCTTACTCCCCACAATCATTTCATCAACAAAACATTTGAATCTAATCTTAAATATGTCCAGAATCCAACCACTTCTCACCCCCTCCGCTGCCACCAACCTGACCAAACCGCCGTCACCTCTCATTTGGCATTTTCCATTAACTGCCTGTTTGATCTCCCAGCTTCCACCTTCGTCCTCCTCGGTCTGTCTACAAGCCTGAAATCATAGGTATCCTTTTAAAACAAGTCACTTCAATATACCTTTGATCAAAACCTTTCAGTGACCCTCCATCTTACTCAAAATCAAAGCCAAAGTCTTGGGCTATAAGACCCCATATTTTCTAATTCCCCATTATCATGTCTTTACTTCTCCTGTCCCTCAGTCTACTTCAGCCACACTGGTTACCTAGGATGTCTTCAAGCAAGCAACGTGTCCCTGCTTCAGAGTCTAGGCACTAGGGTGCTCCTTCATTTCCTTTAAGCATTGGCTCAAATTTCTTCTCAGTGAGACCAGATTACACTATTAAAAATTGCAGTCATGTTATATGAATTCTTCCTATCTTCCTCCTCTTCTAAAGTGTTCTTCATAGCACTTATAACCTTCTAATATATTATTTTATTTTACTTAATTGTTTTATTTATTGTCATTATCATTTCCACTGGAATGTAAAGTACTTTCGAGGAGGAATTTTTGTTTCTTTTCATCCAGTGCTATTCCCCAGACCCCAGAAGATTGTCTAGCACATAATAATCTTTCAATAACAGTTGCTGAGTGAAGAAAGAGTACACACATTTTTTTTGCATTTCTGAGTGCCTGCCAGAGTCTGAATTACAGTAGTATTTCATTTGCTACTCATAAAAGCCCTATAAGATAATTACTACATGAATTTTAAAGATGAAGGAATGAAAATTTTTTGAGATTTGAGTCAACAATGCCTCCAGAATTTCCGTATAGTCAAGACTTGGAGACAGCATTCTGGTTAGTAGGTAGATAAAAATCTTGAAAATCAGAAAAATGCTCTCTTTTCTTGTGTTGTATGTTATACTTGAGAATGGTTTGGTAAATGCTGATTGCACATGGTATGTGCTAAGGTATGTCTAATCTTTGGCACCAACTCTTGCCCGAGGTTTAAGGTTGTTCAAAGCTGCAGCATCCTTCAAGCCAATATGTTTAGGAGACAATGAGTACAAAAGTTAGGGGCAGGGGATTAAGAGGTACAAACTACTATGTATAAAATAAATGAGCTACAAGGATATAAAGTATAACACAAGGAATATAGCCTATATTTTATAATAATTATAAATGGAATATAACCTTTAAAAATTGTGAATCACTATGTTGTACATCTGAAGCTTACATAATATTATAAATCAACTATACCTCAATAAAAGAAGAAAAAAAAGTTTTACTATAACAGAACTTCATTTAAGGAAGTGAAAAATGACAAGATTGATGATGAATTTTTGGCCATATTGTGGAATTTTAGAACGCTTTACTAAGAATTGGGTTTATCCGTTGGTTTCCAAACCTGTGGGGATTCTTAAAAATATGGATTTTGGAGCCCCAATTGGTACCTCCTATTGGTATAGATTTTTAACAAGCTTCCCAGATTTTCGTTAAGCATCCAGGCCAGAACTCCATCCATAGACTGGCATTTGGAAACATGGTAAGCCACTAAAGGTTTTCAGGCAGCAGTTTGCATATGTTACTGTATATTTGCAACTTACTTCTCCCTAAAAAATACCCCCATATCTGTGCACTATACACCCAGGTAAATCTGATAGGGAGGTGGGTGGAATGTCTTTTGGACCAATGTGTCATGCACTGCCTCACAATAATATTTTTCTCCATCTGTTATAGGTCAATGCACAAACTGGCCCAGTTGGAAAGACTTGACCTAGGCAATAATGAATTCAGTGAGCTGGTAAGCAAATGCATTTTCTAAATTTGATAAATATATCCCAGGGGATTATTTCTTTTGCTCTGTCTTGATAACCCCAGGCATTAAACCATCAGGTGCACATTTACATTTGCTAAATATAAAAATGAAATAAAATCTGGAATTAAAGTGATTGCTTACCTATATAGTAAGCTACAGGGAATTGAATAATATTAGGATTAACTTTAAAAAGCGGGGGTACGGATAGGCAGATGCAAATTGTCAGTTTTGAGCACCACCTATATAGCAGGCACCATGTTCAGAGTGTTATATATGTTGCCTCATTTAATCCTGATTTGCCATGTTGCCGTGCAACATGGAAACAAGCTCAAAGTGGTCACTGACTTACATAGCTTTTATGTGGTTGAACAGGAATTAAACCAAGACTTGATTAACTCAAAGTCCATACCTTGAAGACTTCTGCTTTGGCTGCTTAATGGGCATAGCATGAGAGGAGTGGTCAATGGCCTTTTATTTCCAGTTGCACTGAAAGTGTCTTTCTAGTGAACATATGTTATGACCTCACTGCCAGCAAAATTGACAGAATTTTGACTACTCTTTTTAGGCTTAAGTTTTCTTTAAATGCTCCTGAAAACCAAAATCTCAAATGCAAATTAGAAAGAAAATACTCTTTTACCAGCAGACCCAGGCTGTTTTACTCAGAGGTCTTCCACTTGAACATCTTCAAATTTCAAAATCAATTCACCTAAACTGTATTTTAACTATTTTTAAATTAAAACATTTAAGAGAGTAATCAGCTTTTCTTTTGCAGCTATGTTACTAGCTACATGACCTTGTGAAAATGACTTAACCTCTCTAAGCCTCATTTTCCTTTTCTATAAAATGGAGATTATAATGGTTCCTCCCCTCCAAGGTTTGTAGGAGAATTAAATTTAAAAATGTACAGGGCCTGGAAAAAGTGATTTTCAGTAAATGCCAGTGTATAGGGGTGATAGTGTATAATTCACACTACAACTTGAACGTGCAAAAAAATTAACTTGTTTTACTTTGACCGTAACTAATTTGATCATTGTCCCAGCCTCTGTCAGCTCTTTATTGAGGGTAAAAACTGACTTTTATTCTTCTATGATTAGAAGTTAAATCTAATTTTAGAAGTTACATGGTCCCTTTAGGTTGTGTTCATCTTCCCTGCATAGAAATTCTGTGTAACCTCTTGCCTTCCCCTGCTTGTCTCCTTAAGATGGAATCTGAGTGAGTGGAAAGGAAGGTACATATCTTTCTGACATGAGGAAAAGAGACCCCCTGGCCTCAGGCTGGTTTTCAGAAGTGCTGGCCTCTGGGCTGATGTTTGCAGCTGATACTGCCTCCTGTGTTAAATCTGCAATTCTGAACCTGCCAGTTGGTTCTTTGAGCTCAGGCAATACACCCTGGGAGCATTGGCCATCTTCCTCTTGCTGGCAGCGCCATCACCCAGTTATCATTGCATATACATGCATAAGTCTCTGTCCTGTCTTCCCTCCAGCACCATGCTTGGAAGTCCATCCCCGATTTCTGTTGTGAAGGAGCCTCACCAGCCATAACCTTAATAGTGACCCCATAGCAAGTCTACAGGCTCTGAGAATCCAAATGATATGCAAACTGAAAAAGGTCCATTAAAAACAAACTTCAGAGCTTCCTTCTGCCTGCTGCATCGCACCTCCAAGCTTGCTCTGCTTTGGATGTACCCAACTTTGTTATGGGGCAGCTGGCAAGGTGGCCTCAACACAGTAGAGCAAAATGACCCAGTACATAGCTTAATGCACCTCTGGCATTTTTAAAGGAGATATTTATTAGTGTAGGTAGAGAGAGAGGTAAAGGTGGTGAATAACAGTGGCAAAACTAGTTTATATTGGTAGTTTTATAAATTAGTTGTTAAGAAGTTAGGATCTACCCATGATTTCATGAAGACATGTAGCTTGGCCTAGTAGTTGAAAGAACATGGACAGTGGATTCAGACAACTGAGGTTTAACTTTCAACTCCATCACTGGTTAGCTGGGTACCTTTGGGTCTATAGCTCACTCCCTATCCTCAGCTTCCTCTTCAATAAAATAAGGGTATCAAACCCATATATCTCACAGACTTTTTGAAAGAATTTCATGCAAGAGAATCTATAATAAACACTTAATGTATGTTTCAAATGAATTTCAATTCTGTCAGGTATATAATTTTGAAAGCCTTTTGTATGGATACTTTGTGAATCAGTATTTTACTATAAATATTTGCATCGACAAAGTTGAATAGGGCATGTTTATTTTTTGAAAATAAACTTACTAAAGGTAAATTTTAAATACACATATTTTGACTTATGCTTCTGATGTCTAAGAAATCATCCTCTGAGCAAAAACATTTTTTACTTTTGAGCTCCCAATATTTTATGCCTGTCACAAAGTTAAGTCTCTTAATTATTTTTTTGCATTTCTACTGGTGTGCTTTATTTGATAATAGTTATTTGGTGGGGTTGGGGGGAGTATATTTCTGGAACTTCACATTTCTAATGTTATTTACTTTTAATCAAATATTTGAATTTTATTCATCATATGTGTGGGACTAGCTGTTATTTCTCCGGCAGTAACAATTTTTAATGTGAAAATAAGAGAAGTTGCTCTGATAAGAGGCCTCTAGAAACAAGAGCATATGGAGGAAAGGGAATTAAATTCCAATCTGTAGCTAGATATTGACACCTAGGAGATTACTGTTAGATGATTCATTTTGTGTGTCATGGTAAAGAGACAGATGTGAAGACATGGCAGTAAGTAAAAAAAAAAAAAAAAAATGAAAATGATAATGAGAAAACCTAATGAAGGGAACAGAAGTCTGCTTGCTAGAGAAGCAAGGTACATATCCCAAATAAGGTTTGAAGTAGAAATATCTACTTATGGATGCTTTTGTAACAATAAAAAATTGTAAACAAAAGAAATTATCTTATGTTTCTACAGGAATAACCACTAGAAGATACTAGACAAAGTTCTGGGAACGTAATAGATTCTTAAAACTTCTTTTATGTGTGTTTCTTTCATGGCTTTTTTATCAATATAAAATTAATAAGTGTTCATCTAAAATTATTAGAAAGTTAAAAGAAGTATAAAGATGATAGTAAAAGTAATCTGTGACCTCATCCCCATATATAATCATTATTAATATTTTTGGTATAGTCTTTCTCCCATCCCCCATTTTCTTTTAATGAGGTTAAATGAGCATTATTTGGAGTCTGGTCAGAGATGGGACACTAGTAGGTTGATGTGTGGAGTTGGATAGCATCAATCCTTAAAAGTCCTCTGTACACTCTATGTAGTACATTCTTCGCACTGTTACAATAATTAGTAACATCCCAATGTCATGGAATGGTCAGGGACCCTAAAACAGATTTAGTGATTATCATGGGGCCCAAAAGCTGTATGGTAGGATTATATTTCAGGTATATATATATTTATCCAGTGAACTAAGAATTGTTATTTGTCCTGAACTGGTGCAGGAAATAATGGAGCCCCAGAGCAAATCACCATGAGCCAGAATACTGGAAAATGGAGCAGACTGAGTAGCAGAGCCCCGAGGAGATAGGATGGATCCAGTAATAGTATGAGGTCATGGTTGACCATCCCCCAAACTAGCTCTAGCTTCCAGCTCCTTTACTTCCTTTCTTCATCCCCCTCTTCCCTCAAAAGGAGAGGACTGTGGCATACAGGAAAATGTCACTTAGAGCCCCCCAAAACTCTGCTATGGGAACCTTCATCAAAAGAGTCAGTCATAAGAAGCAAAATAAGAAAGCTTTTCGGCAAGCCAGAAAGAGAAAATTGCTCAGCTCAGAGGAGGCTAAAAGCAGACTGGGAAATGGTCTGTGTATGCCTTAGAGTCCATGATCATGATATAACGATGATCATGACCTTCTATATAAGCTATATTCAGTTCCATCCTGTCAGGGATATTTTTTACATCTGTGCTCATGCATGAGGTTGGTATACATTATTCTTGTGTACTTTATCCATGGGTTCCTGTTTTTCATCAGTTTTGAAAAATTAACAGTCCTTATCTCCTCAAATGTTGCCTTTTAACTGTATATTCTGTCTCTCCTGCTGGAATTTGGATTAAATATGAATATGAGTGATTTTGAAATAAATGATTTTGAAATACCATTTTATTAATTATTTTGTAAGTTTTTTCTGGAAAAGTAATCAGATAAAGGGTAATTTTAAAATATCTATTTCATGTTCTTAAAGAAAGTCTTCCTGCCTCTGCACCTAAAATTAGCCAGGATTCATTCTCCAGAGTTTGAGGCATCATGATGAGATCATTTTAAGAGTATTTTCAACTCTTTGAGCTATTTAATGTGTCAGTTACTGACAGAGATATTTCTAAACTACAGACCATTCAAATTCTGGATTAAAGAACAAAACATGGATTTTAAAAAACAAAACACCTAAATGACAGCAACAAAAATATTTGAAGAGTAAAAAATATATATTTTTCTGTGATAAAAAAACATTTTTTAAACACATGTAAAGATGGATTGAATTTAAAAGTTCACAGAATTCATCAGGAAATGAGTAGCATCATTTTTGTTTTGTTTTATTTTGTTTATTTTTGGTTGCGTTGAGTCTTTGTTGCTGTGAGCTAACTTTCTCGAGTTGCGGCGAGCAGGGGCTACTCTTCCTTGCGGTGCACAGGCTTCTCATTGCGGTGGCTTCTTGTTGCAGAGCGCGGGCTTCAGTAGTTGCAGCACACGGGCTCAGTAGTTGTGGTGCGCGGGCTCTAGAGCACAGGTTCAGTAATTGTGGCACATGGGCTTAGTTGCTCCACAGCATGTGGGATCCTCCCGGACCAGGGATCGAACCCATGTCCCCTGCACTGGCAGGCGGATTTTTAACCACTGCTCCACCAGGGAAGTCCCAGTAGCATCGTTTTAACTATCTAATATTTGAAACAGTATGTCAAGCCATCTTTATAAAAAGACTTCATAAATTCAGTTATCCATGGACTGTATTAGAGG